CTTGTCCGTGCTATCGACCGGGCTGGACCCGGGCACCTGGTTCTGTTGAAGCACCACTTCGCCCACGCTGGACATCATGCGGTCGACCTGGACCGCATGGTCCGCAGCAGACGGCGTACGGGCACTCGGGTGTCTTTTGGATCACCCCCGTCTATAGAGGGTGTCTATAGAGTATCAAAAGAAGGGATGTTGTATCAAGAAAAAACCTATTGATCACTATTGGATATGTTCATGTTTATAGTAAGAATCATCGATACGTCTGCCTGTCCTTGCGTTTCAGGAAGGTGTGTACATGATGTACATGATGTACCGGCATACCAATAAAACGTCAAGCTTTTGTTAGCGGATGAGTGGGAGCGAGAGTGAGAGCTTGCCGCCAAACAAGTAGCCCCCCCCACTGTTCGACACTTCGTCGACTTGGCAAGCAATCTTGTCATCACTACACTTTGATAACAATTCAAAAGCTAGCTGCAACATGGACTGGACGATTGGCAGCCAAAAACCTTTCCTTGTTGTGTGTGTTCAACATGGAACGATCCAAACCCTGGCTCATCCGCTGCCCTGCAAGAGGGCCACCTAGTCGCCTTACTCCGCGTGTCCGCCTTAACGGCCCTAAACCCCAAACCTGGTTGATCCCTTTTGGGTGTGCGTCCTGCGTCCATTTTTAGACGCTTGTGCCGCGTTTCTTCGCCCGACATCGTGCGAAATCCTTCGCCCGAGACCCCAGACCTGCTGTTGGAGTGAGGCCAAGGATGATGCCTTGGATCTGCCGCCGAAGCTGGGGACAGCATACCGATCCCCTATGTGTGACTGTCTTCAAGCAGCAAGCTGTCCCAGATTCACCAAGATTGCCAAGGGATTCCACCTAGGTCAGAAAATTCAGCAACAAACCGGATCATCAGAATCCACCCAATCTAAGAATCCCGATCTAAGCAAAAGCCAAGATGCTGTCTGCTGACGTTCCAGCTCAAACTGCTGAGCCAATCCTCAAGCTTGCGCCGGAGCCCCGAGCAGGGATGTTGCCAAGTTTTTGGTTTTGGGGATGTTGCCAAGTCAGTGGATCCATGGCATCCAAGACAGGATCCATAGCATCCAAGGCAGGTGCAACCACCCATCACTGCCAGATTATTGACGCAAATATGGGCGGTTGAAACTTTCATGGCTCCATATCCGGAGTTCGTCTATGTCTGTTTGTCTATGACTATGAATCCTGAAGGCCTTAAAGATTCTTTCTTGAAGTATCTTGAAGTCCTGGCAAGCCATCCAGCCAATCCTAAAGCCCCGATTCTGAGAAAAGAAGCACATGATCTTCCACCCTCTTCCAACCTCCAAATCATCCTTTTTGGAACCAATGACTATCCATTTGGCTCATGCATGGCTATTCCCCCTCCCGTCTTACGAGGCATGGCTCGTTCTTGGCCGCTACCCAAGTCCACCTTCACCTGATCGATGCCACGCCTCGGCCGCGTCCGCGCCGTCCCCGCGCACGTGCGAGGAGGCGTTCAATGCCCTGGAGGAGGCGGAAAGCCCTGGATGGGAAAAACGCACCGTGCAAAGAAAAACAAGGCCCAGGCCATCGATGCCCGGTCTTTTCACCTCCGGGAGAAAACAAAGACTAGGAGGTGCTTTTTGATCTTTCCCCAGAAACTTATCGTTCTTTCATGTTCTTTCACTAAGCTATCTACTATATAGTTGCTTAATCTAGACCACTTCAGGTGATCAACGAGTATGGCTTTTGAGAGGCCCACCCATTCCGCCCGGCCCCGTCCGGAAGGGCGGGACGTCTGAGAGACCGTGCTGAAGTGAAAGGACCGGGTCCTCGGCGAGTCGCATGGCGAGTCGCGAACAGCGAAGCAAACGCGGAGGATACCAGGCGGCATGAAGTTCATGGATGGTCTGTCTCTAATATGATAAGGCCAAGATGTTGTTTTTGTATGTTGTTGTTTGTTTGTTTTTTTTAATGTATTTTATTTGTGCAGCTGTGACATCGTCCAAGTGTTTGAGAAACTGACAGTTTCCCAAGTAGAGTAGCACACTTTCGTTTGTGAGTCCCCTAGCGTTTGCCAGGGTTTGGAGCATGCGCAACATGAATGAGACGCTCTTATATCGTTCACGTTCAAGGCATCTCATAATGCCATATGTCTTTATGTCGCATCCTTTCATATCCTTTCCATACATATCTCGGCAATGAATCAAGTGTCCATGCTGGTAGGGTTTTCCTCCCAAGAATGACCCATCTGCAGTGGGCAACTGCAAGGGCAATACGCCCAGTGGACTGCCCAATGGATGATGATGGTTAGGTTCCAGGCCTTTCCATCTCAAAAAAATGGTGATGCTTGTGGAACCCGGCGACCCTACACGTAAAAATGGACAACATCTGGAGGTCTGCCTCATCACCAAGCAGCAGCAAACGCCTCAAACGACGACTAGTGCGCGGCGCGCCGCGCCTGGCATCCCATCAAAAGAGGCACCTGTCGACATGTTCACACGCGTTCCACCCTCAGGCGGTCAAACTGCCACTGTGCTCCGTGGTTTTCAATAAACCCCGTCATGGCAGTGGGTTCTCCTGCCTCCTTGCGGAGCAACCCAGCTGCGAGCTGGACATCCAAATCAATCCAAATCCGGAGTCCTCTCCTGGAATTGTGTCATGTGGGGAGCCCCACTCTTGGTCTGGTGATGTTTTTGGGCTGAAGTTGAGACCTTCCAACTTCAGCAGGATGCTGGGATAGGGGGATCCAACTTCCGGTCTTTCCATTCCATCGAAGAGACCTTCGGGTCGAATACCACCAGTCACCTGAGGAGATGGGACAGGAGCCTTAGGCAGACTCGTCCAATCCATGCTTCAAACCCCCGCCTTCATGCTGGGCGCCGGCGAGACCGAGAACCTGCCCGTTCGAGACGGAACGAGGTTTCCGGGAGGGTCCGGTCCCGATGAACGCGTGGGTGTACACTCCGACGAACACATGGCTACGTGGAGTTCACCCACTGGTTCGTACAAGGGGTGTCCAATAAAGGTCCCTATAGGTCGTGGGCTGGGGCGAAACCAGCCAGGTGACCACGTAAGGAAGGTGCTGGTATAGAACAATAGCGAGACCGGAGACCTTGTGCAACGACTCTGGCAGACCCAACCGCGCCACCGGATGTGTTGCTGGGTATGCAAGGAAAATAACTGGAGCAAACCTACCCCATCCTGTCCCAAAAGAATCCAACATATAGTATACAAATGTATATCATACATAAAGTGCATATGACCTACACTCACCAGGCAGCCAATGACCATCAAATGTCGGTCATATTTGCCGTCCCATGGATCGCCTGGGCGGGAAATCAACCGATCCGCCGATCCGCCAGGCAGCTGCAGCGGAGACACCGTGTGCCGTGTGCCGAGCGCTGTGCCCCGTGGAGCGAGTCAGTCCGAATGAACCCGACATGGCCGAGCGACTCCCATGTATGGCACGCGGTGTCGGCTGCAGCTGCAGTGGCATCCTTCGAAGCTCCTGGTTTGGTGGTTTAGTAGTGGACCATCATCTAAAGTTACTTGTTGGGGTGCCAGTGCCTTGGTTTTGAGCAATGAATGTGCTTTTGTTGGGGTATGTTGGGGTTATTTTATGCAGTGGTTTCAGAGGTTCAGCACTGGCACCCCAACGGGTCCACTAAACCACCAAACTTGGGGCCCACCACCGACTCTGAAACCACTGTAAATCGCTCCACAGAACATGCCAGTCTTCTTATATAGTTCGAGTTTTTCTCCACTCAACTCCCCAGGTGTCTAACAACAAAAAGGTGACCTGCAGGTGATCAGGCTCTCCACCCCTTCTTAGTTGGGGTGCCCCCAATCCACAAAGGTCTTGCAGATCGTACTTCCGTACTTCCTGGAGCAGCACCTTCGAAGGCCGGGTGTCAAACTCCTGGGTGTTGAGCTCATGGGCCAGTGACCACCGACATCGTGCGACATGCGCGACATTTGCGCGGACGGTCGCGGTGCCGGAGGGTGGCGCTCTTCAGTCTGTCCGACTGAAAGACCGCCCAACAAAAATCAAAGGGATGACTGGACATGACTGGAGAAGACTGGAGGTCTAGAAGGAATCTGAAGGTAGAGCTCCCCCCTGACTAAAGTTTCAACTTATTGAGATGATTTCGATCAGTTGAGACCTCCGGAGTCCTTCGAGACATCGCTGTTAACCACATGCAAGAAACCAAATGCTGCGTACCACCAGGATCTAAAGGTACAGGAAACGAAAAGAGCTTGAATCATTCCGAGGTGGATTCCCATGGAGTCTGTAGCTCAGGGAGAGCAGGCAACTGTAAGGGCTCAGGTTCTTTGACAAATCCTTACAGCTCAATTGATCGTGACACAATTGACACTTATCATCTATACTTGGCTCAAGGATGATGGGTTGACGTGTGACTTGCTTGACTTCTTTGCATTTCGAACAGGCAGCGGCAGCGGCTAGAACAAAAACTCTGGCGTTGCTGGTTTCGGGCCCCGACGGTGAGAGGCACCTGCCGGGGGTCCTATTGTATAACTGACCCCGGGCTGTTTCGCTGGAAGCTAATTTAGCTTGATTGTTTTGTGAGACACTAATCCCCCCAACAAAAATGTTGTCCACTGACTAGGTCAGGTAGGTATACATCTGCAACCTGGTGGTTGTTCTTTGGTCGACAGTTCAACTTACCTTGATCCAGGCCTGTGAACCACACAAACATCTGCAACCAAAATGAACATCTGCTGAAAAAGCGCATTCAGGTAAAACGCACGTGGCTCGCCAATAAATGCCTGTAGCTTGTCAATCATCAGAAAACTAAAGAAACATCTTCAAACTCAAATGCAATGACTCCCAAATATATATATATAGTGTTTTGACACTGCAAATGTCCCAAGCAAGAAACACGACGGGAAGTTCCAGGTACGTGTTGAAAGACTATGCGTTGCCGTGAAGCTATCCGGAAGTTTTTGGTTGTGAAAGCCTCTGATTTCGTTGTGGCAGACCTGACGCGCATTTTCCCCTCAAACTTGGCTGTGATCCCGGGGGCAAGCGGCTCAAATAAACACAGCCAAGACGAGGCTACCTCAAGGATTTTGGTAGCACACTAAAGAGCTCTATCAGGCAACGTCCAACGTAGCTGAACACTGCCTTGAAATGGCAAAATCTCCTTCGCATTGGCCGGTGGCCCTTGGAAGTCCATCTCTTGAGCCTGGAGTTTCCTGCATGAGAAGCAGGCTTCGGGCTTTCTATTGGGGGCAAATGAAATTTGAGCAGTGTCATTTTGGTAACTATACCAGGGCCTATACACTGGAAGCACACCTTCACATCTGCCTTGGCAAGTTATGAGACATGTGTAATATTAATTTTAAGACCAAATCTCACGATTATATATATAAATATATCATTATATATCTATTTAATGCTGATACCTTGCATGTTACTAATTAATGTTCTAATTGATTCCAAATGTGGCATGAGGCGCACATGACACAGAAGTGAACCCCAAGAAGCTTCGCAGCTGCTCTCTGGAAGAGGCCGGCGCTGTCTCACTGCCAGGAGGTAGCTGGTACGCGTTGAACCTGGTAGCTGGTAGCTGGCTCAGTGTGAGACATGTTGTTTTTGACCTGTGCCATGCGGGTTGTTGACTCTGCATGGTCTCAGGACGTTTTCCTCAAAAACAGTTCGTCGCCAGTGCCCAATCGCCAGCTAAGGGTTGTACCATTCGTGGACTGCAATATACACTAGTTTTAGTGCTCACCCCTTGCTGAAACCAATAACGTAGACCAATGTAGACTTGATAAATAACTCAAAGACCCCCCGATAGGAAGTGGTTGTTCGATCCAAATGGGGTGTGTTCGATCCAAACGGGGCGTGTTCGATCCAAATGGATCCAAATGGGGTGCGTTGTTCGATCCAAATGTGTCTGTTTTTTATTGATCAACCTCACAAACCATCGGAGCTTCGACAGAACCCAGGGGGCCGGGCGATGGCCATGTGGATCGAAACGCGGATGACTGCTGCCATGGGGGATCACCAATGGGGGGAGGGTGAACCCCACCGAGCTTTCAGAAATCACCTGAGAAACAAACAAGGTGTCATGACCCAACGAATTCCCAAGCCAAGGCCCTCTCTCATTCGTTTCGTGACGCAGGAGCCATCGAATCATTGAAGCCTAGTATGCCAACCCGAGCCAAGCAACTCCAAACCTATGGGGTGAAGGTCAGTTGAAGTAACATTCGGATAGCTGTACCCCTTGTCCAGTTCGACCAGAATTCCAGATAACACCTGGCCTTCCTTAGTGAGTCTGGTGACCCGGGACAGCAAAGATTCGGGAAGCTGAATCATGAACTACCCCAGACCATCCATGTGCCTTGAATAGTTTCATATGTTACCCCTATAAACATGACCCATGACATGGCTGGTCACCAGTCCATGCGAGCTCACCGCCTCACCGCCTCACCTTCGATCGATCCATCGGACATCCATCGTACATCCGGAGACCCGTTTGGAGACCCGTTTGGCCATTCAAATGGGAACGACCTGGTCGTGTTGTGTAAAACCTTAGTCTGGGGCCATGGTGGTTCGGCATTCAGGCTATTTAACATATATAATCGTGGGCCAGGATGCCTAGGGTACTCTGGGGATCCAAGTAACTCCTTGGAAATGTCTTTGGACCCTCCTACATGCAAGATCACCTTCTCACAGGGTATGTGGATTCATAGGGTTAATTGATAAGACCCCAAACATGGATTGTAAGGCCTCTTATGCCTCTTCAGGTCTGGGGAAAATGAGCGGGTGCAGGATGGTGCACGGTTGGTCCTTCCCCGGAACCCATCGTAGCAAGATGCCTCAAGAACCTGCGTCAATCTTCATTATGTTCATGAATGACCCGAACAAAGCATCAATATGCATGAATGGCATGTTTCAAAGCCCGAAGTGGAATCAGGAATCACCCATGATCCATGACATGTTTCAGTAAATGTAGACTCTTGATTCATCACCCTCTCCCACTTGAAAAAACCTCGTCATTCTGCGGGGCTTGTTGAATCAAGAGTCTACATGACAGCCGCGGCGGCCGCGTGGCATGTCAGTCCGACGCACCGCGGGGTCGTCTCGCAGGGCCTCAGGCATGGTCCAAACGCAGTCGTGGATGTGATACGTCAAATCCTGGCACCGGCGCCACCGGTGGCGCGGGGGGGGCGGAGCGGATGTGGGGGGGTCGCTAGATCGCGAGCTTTCCGGCGGTGCCGGTGTAAGAGTAGGCACGTCGTGGGGTGCAGGTTGCAGCTTGGGGCGCTGCAAGTAGAGCTATATAGTCTTCTAAGATTGTTGTGAAGTGTTGCGACTTGTATTCCCTGGAAATCCAGCAAGCGGTGGGTGCCAGGGGGGAGGTTCAGCTGACTCTAGTGGCTCGTGATGAGTCAGCTGTCGTCTCAGTCGCCTTGTCTGACGTGTGGCTTTTGGGTCCCCAACTCTTCTGAACAGTTGCAAATCTGAGGGCCCTTGGTGCAAGGAAGGTACACAAGTGTGAGAGAGAGAGAGAGCTCAAGGGTTGATTGCAGGTGTGAGGATCAACATACCTGCATAGAATGGTAGGAAAAGGATGCAACCACTTAAAAAAAAAAAAAAACTAAACACAATCTGTGTATAAAATGATGCTATCCTAGAGGCATATGTTTCTGCGCAATTTATTCAACATGAGCGTCTTCTATCAAATGAGAGGTGCAGGTTCCCTCAACATACCACAAACAGCGCTGTCGGACGTGGTTTTGGCTTTCTGGATGGTTCTCCCCGAGGGTGCCTCTATAAAATGCTGTTTGTTGAATCCAGAGCTGGCACCGCCAAAGGTTTAAGCAAACACGCATCGAAGTTTTCCTGGTGGATGACTGGTGCTGGGGGGGGTGCTGGTTTGACTACTGGGCTCGTTAAGGGGTGGTGGGGCCCTTGGCTTTTTGTTTGTGCATTTTTTCCAGCAGGGGTTGGATCGACGGCTGAAACTGGCAAACGTCTAAGCAAACAAGCATTTTACATATACTGTAAGGGTTCCTTTTGTTTGTCGACGATCTCAGCACAAGGCCACTCTGTTTTTTTTTTTAAAACTGATGGTCTCGGGCTTCCATCTTAGCTAACATGAAATTGTCCATATCACCAAGCACAACCATCATGTTGTTTTAGAAAATAATAATCCAACCCTGAATGCTTGAGCATGCTTACTTTGTCGTTTGTACATGGGGCCTGGAAACGGCATTGTGTAAAGGAAAGGATCACCATTTTATGGTGGCATACTCTAGGGATATATGCTGAAGTTCTTAGGCATTCTTGGATTTACTGATGCACCTTGGGAAAGGAATCCAAGAAACAATGATTACACTGATTAAACACAACCATAGACGCACAAAACGGGTGATTGAAAATCCTACGTCGTCGTAAGTCCAAACCATTTTCAGTGCTAGCACACTAGCTAACGTTGGCACGATCACTGAGAACAAAACGTTGAGCAGCTCACCATAGCTCAGCTCACCAGAGCCGAGCTTGGCTGAGCTGAACTTGTGCCCGCTGTGCCCGAAAGAACATATATACTGTAAGTGGTTGGTCATTGCAGGCGCATGAACATTTTCCATGGGCCATCAAGCAATGTGTAAGAACTTGAACCACCTTGCAGCAATTACACCATTTATATACGAGCTGTTCTTTGAAGAAAGAAATGCCTCATGATTCACAGCATGTTGAGGTCTCAAATGTTTCAGATATCAGATTAATGGGCACACAGGATTCAGGAACCTTCCCTTAATAATTAAGCCCAGCTCGAGCCCCCAATACTAAACTAAACTAAGTTAAAAACTAAATGTCCACATTGACATCCCCCTAGTATGTTTTCTTGCCAAAAAAACTCTCCCTATTAACCGAGCCCAGCTGCCCCAGCAAAATTGTATAGAATAGTAATAGTTTACTATTCCCTGCAAGCCCGAAGTGCAAGTGAAACGAGTACCTTTTGAAAAGAACAAGCTTTACGAGTACCTTTTGTTTGTCGGAACCCACGCCCTTTGATCCGAGCAAGTTCAACATCACCACGCTAATGGCACATAGGTCCTGCAAGAATGCACCACAAGTTTATTTTCATGCATACCAATACTATCAAAATTGCAAAACTATGTCAGGATTACCTTACATATTACAAACATTAAGGGGACTAGGGACCTGTTACGCTCCAGTTACGCTCCTGTTACGCTTTTAGATCATTTGCAGTTTTAGAAGTCTCCCGGAGGGGGGTTGTTACGGAACTGCTACGCTCCTGTTACGCTAAATAATACTTGGCCCACAATTCATTCCTTTTTGCTCTTAATGTCGAATCATGAGCCTCAAAACCATCAAGAACACCTGATTTCACTCAGAATTGCCTTTGATTCCCTTCCAAACCACAGCCTGAGAGATCATGAACACTATTTGTGTCTTTACCGGGACCAAGTAAAACTAGGTTCTAATAGAGTTCATGATCTCGAATTCAAAATGAACAAGTTTAACGAGGTCATTGACTTGGAGGGGTTACATATTATTATAGTAATTATAAGTTACGTTCTTTATCCATTGCTCCATGATCCCTACAAATCATCTAAAAACTCTCTAGCATTTTTTTTCTTATTAGGTTTTCAAGCACTCAGAGGGCACCCGGTACCCCTTACACAGGCCTCATGGTTCACACAGAATCCCATCGCCTTTATTAGGGGGATCTGGTCTCCAATACCTCCAATCTCAAACCTTGTTGACCTTGAAGGAGCGGGGCCGTTGATCAATCCGGAGTTGGCATTCTATGAAAGTCATCCAGTGATCCCAAGTTTGCTAGCGGAGCTTCAACTAAAAGAGGGGCACAGCGCTTCTCCGATTCACCAACTACTGTATCCAAACCGAGTGAACTCTGTCTACTCTGCTCCCCGTCTCGCAAGACGTCTCCGTCTCCTCCATGGCTTCCTCCAATGCAAACTTGCTGGACTGTAGCAAGCACAGCTGGGAGTTCGCACAATAGGAATCATTCCTCAGCACCGCAAAGGCATCCACGAAGGCAGCCGCTCAAGGAGCGGGAAAGGACGATCGACGAGGCAGAAAAAAGACCTTTGGGACAGAACTTGGGTTCGTCAGCAACCAGGGCCAGCAATTCCATCTTGGGCCATCTGAAAGTTTCTTTTACCACCTCGATATGGGTCATCCTGCAGCGGATGGCATGTGCTCTGAGACGTTTTGATGTCCAAAGACTGTCTAGGACCGCCATCTTTGCCGATCAACTGAGGTGGCTTCAGTTCAGCGGTCCATGTTGGCATATATATATATATACCCTAGGGCTCCAACCATATCCTCAGAAGGTGGTTAGACCCCCCTGGCACCCACCCCAACCATCTTCGAAACGGAGGTAGTTGGAGCCCTAGGGATATATATATATATATATATATATTCAAGTCCCAAACAGGTCATGACCGAGGCGTTTTGTCGTTCGGGCGGGCGAACCGGGCCGTCGTGAGTTCTAGGGTCCCCACAAACGGCTTAACTCGATTCGGTCATCCCTGTGAGGGGTCTCACTTAAAGGGACTCCTGAGTGAAGGGTCCTGTGAAAAGGGCTTGTGTGAAACAATCCTCTGTAACCCTAAAAACCAAGGACCCAGTAAAACCTGGTCTTTTACAGTTCTGTTCTGTGACATTTGATCTGTTGATTCCTTTGAGGTTTCCATCTAGAGGCACGTTTGAACCATCAGTGCTCCGGGCCCACTTAATGCAACTGAGAATCACAACTTCCCCAAGACTAGCACTACCCAGTTACGGTTTTTGTTTGGCAGTGAACAGTGTTTTGGGGGCCCCCTCTGGCCAGGGGGTGAACTGGGTGGTGCTGGTGGATAGATTGATCATGATGATAGATGGATGGTGATGGTGATGGTGATGGTGATGGTGATGGTGATGATGATGATGATGATGATGATGATGATGATGATGATGATGATG